TGAGAAAGAGCTGGACTGTGCATCAGGTGCGTCTGTTCTTGCTGGGATCTCTGAGGGTGGACAGTGTGAGGAGGGTGGACACTGTGGACAGTGTGAAGAGTATGGACACTGTGGACGGTGTGAAGAGTGTGGACAGTGTGAAGAGGGTGGACACTGTGGACAGTGTGAAGAGTGTGGACAGTGAAGAGGGTGGACACTGTGGACAGTGTGAAGAGTATGGACACTATGGACGGTGTGAAGAGTGTGGACAGTGTGAAGAGGGTGGACACTGTGGACAGTGTGAAGAGTATGGACACTGTGGACAGTGTGAAGAGGGTGGACAGTGTGAAGAATGTGGACACTGAAAGCCACTGCAGTTCTGTGCCTTAGCTCTGACAGGTGTCATGTCTGACTGCGGTCACTTGGTGGAGCTGTAGTTCATAATAAGCCATCCCCCATTCCAGGGGCTGTTGTGACTTTTTTCTTTTGTGCAGTAAAGCAGCACTGCAGTGGGATTAGTGAAGACTTAAAATTGTGGATTTCTGATGTGGTGGAGGATTTATTTAAAAAATAAATAAAATTGCTATAGGCTGTCCCTCCAACTAGTGCTGTCACCCTGCTCTGAGGATGTCAGAGTACCATGGTGATCACAAGACAAGCAGCAGAACTAGGTCATCATAGAAGAAGCAATGAGGATGTGTTTTATTAATATATTAAAATTTAATTATAAAATCATTTGTATGGCTCTCGCTGTAATTCTACTTGTAATACTTTATCATTTTAATTAACGAAATAAAACATGCTGTAATCAGTAGCTACACATCTTCGTGGTTCAGTGTTTTTTGCCATGCATTTCTTTTGATTTCAGGTTTATCTCTGCATGTATGGGATATCTGGGATAGGGATATACTGAATTGAAACATATGGTATAACCATTATTGTGTTCACACCCACTGCAAATGGATAGAGTTTGTCAGTCTGATTTCTCCATTCGAGGATACTATGACCATTGTAATATTGAAGGCTGTAATGTAATAGAATACAGAATTCAGGCTGATTGGCC